GTGTGGGAGAGAGAGACGAAAGAGGAGAGAGAGAGGAGAGAGAGAGAATCACGAGAGACGGAAGAGTGAGAGAGAGCGACGAGATGAGAGAGACCTAGAGCCGAGAGAGAGAGAAAGAGATCGACGAGAGAGAGAGGACAGACAACAGACAGACAGAGAAGACAGAGAGATAGAAGTGGGCAGACAGTTAAGACAGACAGACAATTTCAACTATGTAGAGGAATCCAACGAACTTTAGAACGAACTGTAAGCAACACAATAACAACCAAAAAATAAAAAAACAAGACAAAAACAACCAAACCAAACCGCAAAACACCGATAACACGAACCATTTACGAAAAAGAGAAAGGAATAAACCCCAAAATCAGCAGAGACAGAGAGAAAGCGTCCACCAATCAAAGACAGCGCCCCCGTCTGTCAATCAAGGATAATTGGTGATGGACAAGCTAGTTAATATTGAAAATTGATTTGCGAAAGATCTGCAAATGGAATATGGAGATTGAAGAGATTTAAGGGGTTGAAGGGCGAGCGAGGTGGAGGAGGGGAGGGGTTAAGAGAGGTAAGTGAGGGAGGGGGGGAGCGGGGGGGAATTATATGATCTTTGTACTGAGCTGCTGACCGGCTGGGAGAGCAGGGAGGGGTTGGGAGAGGAGGTCGGGAGCGGGACTTAGGAGACGGGAAGTGTGGGAGGGGAAGCGGAAAGGCAGAGGGAGTGAGAGCATGGTGGGGAGTTAGGGAGGGGAGTAGAGAGGGGAGCGGAGGCAGATAAGTGGAAAAGGGGGAGAGAGAGGAGGACGTGAGGGGGGGGGGGGGTAAGTGGGTAGGAGGGAGAAGACGTTAGGTTGGGTGGTATTATATTAAGGGAGAGGGGGCGGTGGAGAGAGGAGACGTAATGAGTGAGAGTGGGGGGGGGTAAGTGGCAAGGGGGAAGAGAAGATGTGAGAGGGGTGGGAAAGGGAGTGCAATAAGGAGATGAGGAAGGTGAATGCGTAAGGAGGCGGAGAAAAGGAAGCAGGGTGGGAGGTAAGTGAGAGGAGGAAGAGAGAAAGAGAAGGAGCGGGAAGTGAACAGAAAGAAGGTAGAGGACGGGAAACCGAAGAGAGATGCAAAGCAAGATGGAAGGAAGGGAAGGAAAAAGAATGAGAAAGGTTAGAGGCGAAGAAAACTGGGGAAGAGAAAATTAGGGAATGAGAGCAGGAACATGAAAGAAGAACGGTAAGAAGCATGAAGAAAGAGGGAGAGGCTAAAGACAGAAGGAGAAGGAGGAACGTGAGAAGGAGATGAAAGACTGGGAGAAGCAGGGAGACAATATTAACTGAAGGATGATGTGAAAACGAAGAAATATGCAAGGCAGAACGGAAGAAGGAAGATGAGAAGGATGCAACGCGAATGGGGTGGCAAGTTCAGCCAGCACGTAGAAGGGGAGAAGTGGGAACGAGAGAGGACGAGAGAAAATGGGAGAGAAGTTGAGAGAGGTTATGAATTGAAGGAAGTATGAGGGAGACGGTGAATGCAAGGGTGAGAGAGAGAGAGAGAGGAGAGATGAGCGAGACGAGAGATTTAAGAGAGAGAGAGCGACTGAGATGAAGAGATGAGAGGATTGGATTGAGACGAGTCGGACGAGAGAGATTGAGAGATGGAGAGAGAAAATGGCTGCAAGGGGGAGAGGTGTAGGGATGGGAGTTTAGGTAAGGCTGAGGGCAGGAGGAGGTCCAGGATGAGAGCTTTGGGTGTCGTGTATCGCCGGAAGGGAGATGAGCTGCGAGGACGACGAGAAAATGCGGTTGGAATACCAAGTAGAGATGGTGTGTAATTGGTGAGTAAGTGCCCAATTGTATAATAGGCAATGGTAAGGCAGAAGCTGAGAGAGGATGAGAAGAAGGAGGGAGAAGAGGGAGGAGAGGGTAGGAGAGGGCAGATGTAAAGATGAGGGGGAGATGGGATGAGGTGAGAGAAGGAGAGAGAGAGGGAGAGATGGAGAGAGAGGGGGACGAGAAGCGAGGGAGGAGAGGGAGATGGAAAGAGCGGGGGAAGGAGAGAGAGGGGGAGGAGATCATTGGAAAGAAGCGAGGGGAGTGAGAGAGGCAGAGAAAGCAGGAGAGAGGGAGATGGAAAGAGAGGGGAGGAGAGGGAGATAGAATAGATAGATAGAATAGATAGAGAAAGAGAGAGAGAGGGGAAGGGAGAGGAAGGAGTGAGAGAGGAGAGAGAGGGGGGGAGGTTGATAGAAAAAGGAAGGAATGGAGAAGGACAGACAGACAGACAGACAGACAGAGACATACACAGAAAAATAAACAGCCTTAAACACATAATAAATACACAGGCAAACCCTTGCAGAATTTTCCCATGCAACAAAACTCTAATATGTAGGGGAGCCTCCACCATCAATTATGGTACGAAAGTAGAGAGACAAATATGATTGACAGCTGCCAGACAAAGCGATATGGCAAAGGGTACCTAAATTCATCAACCAATAAGCAGGCTCGGAATCACGTCAACAGCCAATAGCAGTGCATCATGTGGAAGCCTGATTATAAGGAGCCAATCACCGTCGAACACGTCATAAAAATGGCAGCCAATCACCGTCGTACACGTCATAAGAATGCCAGCCAATCATCGTCGTACACGTCATAAGAATGGCAGCCAATCATGAGAGCCGATAAGATAAAGGGAGTTTTTTTTTTTTGAAGAAGAAGAAGAAATAGCAGACTTTGTACCAGAATCGTCTCCGGGAATGAACCAACTATAATATTATGATTTTTCTTGGGTTGAATGAGGGTATTGGTGTTGGTGGCTATTATAAAAGTGGAAATTAAAAAGAAATAAACGAATACCACGATATAATTTATTCTCTCTCTCTCTCTCTCTCTCTCTCTCTCTCTCTCCTCTCTCTCTCTCTCTCTTCTCTCTCTCTCTCTCTCTCTCTCTCTCTTCTGTTGTCTGTTTTGTTTTCTCCATGATTAAACACAGCAAAAACAAAAGGATAAAAACGGTGAAAATCATTCACCGTAAAGTATTTATTTGAACAACACACCACACACACACCACACACACACACACACACACACACACAATATATGTGTGTGTTGTGTGTGTATTGCGCATCACGATGCAGATTAACACGAATTTAAGTTGGGCTAAGACAAACCTCTAGTAAAAATTTCATAAAAATCTGTTCATAATTTTTTGAGGTATCATGCTAACCAACGTATACAAACAAACAAACTAACTAACCAACGCTGCCAAAAAAACATAACCTGCTTGGCGTAGTTAACAATTGATAACATTTTATTACAGCTTTGCAACCGACGTAATAAAAAAAAATAATAATAAAAAAAATAAAAAAATGCAATTTATGTACATAATTCTTGCTAGACTATTGGTCGTTTCAGCAGATCCTCGAAAAGCCGCCCAATGTTGCAAAATTGCAATCCAGAAGTAACAGTGGTGCTATTAACATCCATCTGAATAGTAATGATATCAAAACAATAACATTAATCCTTCTCATTATAAGTAACAGTGATAATGGGGATGGTGAAAATGATGAGGAAATGTATAATTGTATAACAGTAATAATGATAACTACAAGGATGTAATGTATGTTTACTGTCGTTATCACATCCGATGATTGTGAGTTGTGCAAAAGAGTCCCTTTGTTGTTTTTGATATAAATAGTCATTCTCTCTCTTGTCTTTGTCTTTCTCTGTTTGTCAGTCTCTCTATCTATCTCTTCTCTCTCTCTCTCTCTCTCTCTCTCTCTCTCTCTCTCTCTCTCTCTTCTCCCCATTTAACGTCACGACACCACAGTGTATGGACGTGTATAATATCCTTTCGTGACCATTATGGACCTGTCCTTAAAAGGTCTGTGTTACCTTGAGAATCAGGTCTTCACAGACCTATCAGTTGTATGCTGATTCTGTGCTTGACAATGTTCACATAATCCGAAGTTCGAAAGTGATATGAAGAATTAACTGTGAAATACAAAGTGGAAGATCCTACGCACACTCACAGATGTGTTGTGAGGCACCGTAGGCGACCTGTGTGTGTCGTTGTTTATTTTCAAAGGACAGGCACTCGGGTCAGCCCCTGCGTGGTCGGGGAGTGACCGCGCCCACTGTCAGGATGGCCGCAACTCGTGGAAACAGAAGGGAGATACGATACTCTCAGTGAAGAGGATATTGGTAGACCCACTGAAGGAACGAGAGAAAAAAAAGCTAAGAGGTAGTTTTCTGCTTCAGTGGCGGTCACGCTCCCCGGACACCTGTGTGCGCACTTCAGTCCGGACGCGGAACTTCACACGCACGGCCATAAATACCGACGGGTCTCTCACACATCAAAAACGGACTCTTACAATAAAACACACGGACCAGTAGAGCTAAAGATTGGGAGAAATGATGGATGTCCAAGATGCAAGAACGAACAAATTCTTGCCCATATTACAACGACTGGTGCAAATGGTGAAGTGCTGGAAAAAGTAAGGGTTTTCGGTAAAGGAAAATGTACGAATGTCATTGTGTTCGATGTTCCAAAGGAAATTGAAACATGGAATGACAACATACAACGAACGTGTCATTCATGCAAGACGCATGAAAGTTAACGGAGTGATGACCCAGAGAGTCATCCTAACGTATGAGGAGGAGGTAGTCCCCAAATCTATTAAAATGGTTGAGGGCATGGCGCCCTTTAGGTGTGCCATCTACAAATCCCTGACCCCATTTTGCTCTAATTGCCCAAAGTGGGAAATGGTCACGTGCATGTCCACGAGACGCACCACACTGCGCTCTTTCTCAAGAAAGTTCAAAGCGCCCAGAAAAGATTTCCGAAGGGAGAAATGTTCCTCGGAAACGAGTGAACTGCCGACAAGAGCATGATGCTAGTTCTCGAGTGTGCGCATACTATCCAAAGGGTAGGAAGATAAACAGTCAAAAAAGCAGACAGCCCTCCGCCGGAAGTCCATCCCAGCCCAGCACCTTGATGGCGTCAGCAGTGATGGCCCCGCAATGCAAGACATGGCACCGACCACATTACCAGTACCAGCAAGAGCAACAGCCCCATCAACTCAAGCACCAGTACCAGCTCCAGCACCAACTGCAGCTCCAACCCCAACATCATCTGCTGCACCATCTTCTGCACCAGCATCAGCACCAGTTTCAGCATCAGCTCCAACACCAGCTCAAGCATCATCACCAGTTCCAGTACCAGCCGCAGCTCAGCCCTCACTGCAGCAGGACAGACAAGAGACCAACGGAGAAATAAAGGATATGCTGCAAATGCTGCTTCGACAGGTGGGGCAGATGATGCCTATGACACAACAACAGATGGCTCAGCAATCTCAATTCCAGGAGAGGTCGTTCGCGCTCCTCCTCGACCAACAGCAGCACCAACCTGTAGTGGGCCTTGGAAATGGTCAAGTAATCAATGTCTCCAAATAATCTCTTGAAATTTATTACCTGAAACAGCAACTCTCTCCCAGTGCCTTCACGCTGAAGATGTTGATGTGTGTTGCCTTCAGGAGGTCAGAATTAGTGCTCATTATGCAAAATTCGTAACACACATATCATGGCAGACCAGATGCTGCTAATCCTTCTACAGGAGGACTTGGCATTTGCATTCCATCGAAAGAGATTGATGACAATCGTGACAAGTGCAGTTATTGATTATATTATCTTTATTATAGACTCTGGTCTTTGACATGATTAGTGATATAAAAGTTTTTTTTTTTTCACCATTTACATGATGTACTAATAATGCAGTGAGGATGGTACAGCACTTCAGGCATGTATATTCCACTAATTTTTGACTGATAGCTCTCTACATAAATAGAAGCACAGCCAGTTTGGATAGATGCTTATGTATCTTACCCTCTGTTCTGTGAATAAATCTTATCAAATCAAACCAAATTTCTTTCTCTCTCTTTCTCTCTTTCTCTCTCTCTCTCTCTCTCTCTCTCTCTCTCTTCTCTCTCTCTCTCTCTCTCTCTCTCTCTCTCTCTCTCTCTCTCTCTCTCTCTTCTCTCTCTTTTCAATCCATCTATCTTTCTCTCTCTCTCTCTCCTCTCTCTCTCTCTCTTTTCCCTTTCTCTCTCTCTCAACTCTTTCCATCTCTCTCGCCCTTTTCCTCTCCTTCCCACCCCCCTCTCTCTCTCCCTCCCTCCCTCTCTCTTCCTCTCTTTATGACATCTACCTTTTTTACCATCCTCTTTCTCCCATTCTCATCTTCCTCCCTCCATTTCCCACCCACCACCAGCCGCCCCAGCGATCCCCCCACCACCTCTCTCTCTCCCCAACCCCCTCCCATCCCTCTCTCCCCCAACCACCCCTCTCTCTCCCCACCCTCCCTACCTCCCCACCACCCCTCTCCCCCCACCCCCTCTCTCCCCCTAACCACCCTTCTTCTCTCCCCCCAACCACTCCCCTCCCAACCCCACTCCCTCCGCCCCAACCACCCCTCCCTCCGTCCTCCACCTCTCGAAAACATGACACGGTCACGTCCTGCCGCGTCATCTTAGGCTGTCTTGCCCCACGGAGGTGTTAATAGGGGGGGAGGTGAGGGGGAGGTAGGGGGGGGGTAGAGGATGGGGAGGGTGAGAGGGGGGGGTGGAGGGGGTGGTAGGGGGGAAGGATGAGTGTGGGGGGATTGAGAGGATGGGGGTAGGGGGTAGAGGGGTTGGGTGGAGAGGATGGAGAGGCTGAGTGGGGTGTTGGGGTGAGGAGAAAAGGGGTGGGTGGGAGAGGATGGGGAGGATGAGGAGGGTGGGGGGGGAGGAGGATGGTGGAGGAAGGGGGGGGGTTGGGGGGTGAGAAAAGGGGGGGTGGGAGAGATGGGGAGGCTGAGGGGGTGGGGGTGAGAAAAGGGTGGGTGGGAGAGGATGGGGGAGGGGGGTGGGGGATGGTGAGGCTGAGAAGGGGGGGGTTGGGGAGGGTGAGAAAAGGGGTGGGTGGGAGAGATGGGGAGGATGAGGGGGTGGGGGGTGAGAAGAGGATGGTGAGGCTGTGTGAACTCCTCTCCTGTTGATGGAATTCCCCATCTCTGTTTCTTTTCGGTTTTCTCTCTCTTCTCTTGATCTTTCTGTCTGATTTATTGTTATTTTTTTCTCCTCATCCTCTTTAAATTCTCCTTATTATCTTAAATTCTCCTTCTCCCTCCGTACTTTCTCTCCCTCTCTGTCTCTTCCCTAAATTCTCTTTATCTCCCTAGACTCTTCCTCTCTCCCTAGTTTCTTCTCCCTCCCTAGATTCTCCCTTATCCCTATCTCCTCTAGCTTCTCCCCTTTCTCCCTAGATTTTACACCTCCCACCGTTATAACACTCCCTCTCTCCCTCCATCTAGATTCTCCCTCTCCCCTAGTTTCTCCTTCCTCCCTTCTACCTAGCTTTTCTCTCTCTCCCTTCTCCCCCCTTAATTCTCTCTCCCTCCCTCCCTTCTCCCCTAGCTTCCCCCTCCCTCCCTCCCCCCTTAGCTTCTCCCTTCCTCCCTTCCTCCCCATTCTCTCCCTCCTAGCTTCTCCCTACCTCCCTCCCCTCCCTTGTTCTCCTCCCTCCTAGCTTCTTCCTCCCTCCCTTCCTCCCTCCCTCCCTTAGATTCTCCCTCCTCCCTCTCTCCCACCCCCCCTTCTTCTCCCTGCCTCCCCTCCCAGCTGTAGCGAGAATGATTCAGCAAGAAATACACATGTTGGGCGGGGGAGGGGGGAGGGGAGGGGGAGGGGGGGGAGGGAGATCCTTCTGTTTGTTTGGCTTTTGAAAGGTGACTGGGAACGCTCGCTGGAAGGGAGGGGGGAGGGGGGGAGGGGGAGGAGAGGGGGGGTTGATTGAGGGGTTGGGGGGAGAGGGGGAGAGGAGAAGGGTTCGATTCGGGGATTGGATAGGTGAGAGAGGAGAGGGAAGGGAAAAGAGGAATAGTTATATAAGTGAGGAAAGTGAGAGAGAGAGAGAGAGAGAGAGAGAGAGAGAGAGAGAGAGAGAGAGAGAGAGAGAGAGAGAGAGAGAGAGAGAGAGAGAGAGAGAGAGAGAGAATAGATAGAGAGAGAGGGGGGGGGGGAGAAAGGAGACAGATAGAGATAGATAGCTAGATACATAGATGGATAGACAGATAGATAGAGAGAGAGAGAGAGAGAGAGAGAGAGAGAGAGAGAGAGACAGACAGAAGAAAAGAGAAAGGAGGGGAAGGGAGAGAGATGATGATGAGGAGGAGGAGGGAAAAAAACAAGAATAGAAAGACACAAGAGATGAAGATATAACAAAAAAACTTGAGAAACTGCAAACAAGCAAAACCTACAACAATAAAAAGCAATAAA